CTGTACAACATTGGTTAATTCTCTTTTGATTTTTCTTAATTATCGGATTTGTAGAATTCAATAGAGAATAATAAAGGACGTGAAAAAACTTTATTAATTATAATGCTTGATCTGAAAGTTTTTATACAAGATGTTTGTACTCTTTTCGAATATGGACTTAGAAATCTTGTCTCAATTTTTGTTTAAAAGTAGTGAAATAATCTTTGAAAAACCTAATAAATGAGTTTTTGGATGGAAAATTTTAATGTTTTCATTGTTGTAATACGAAACTAAAAAGTTAGGATTTTTATTTATATATCAACTTATTTATCAACGGCTACCATACAAAATGCACTACTTGAATTTCCTTTTATCATTCGACAAGGTACCTTATTTTAAATACTCTTTTTTTTTTTAAAAATCGACAATCGTCTTATGTTGAAAGGAACTCTTGAAAAAATTCTAGGGTAAAAGAGCTACCGCTTAGTTCAATATTAAATTTTGTAGAGAAGCGTTCATTCTACAAAACGATCAAGTAGCATGTTCGAAAAGACACTTATACGGTAAACACAAAATCTGTTGGCTCACTATTAAAAATAATTTTTCAGACCTTTCAAAAAGTTCAAAACAAAAAAAATAGACATAATAGTTGTAAGCTCAAATTCAAATTCTGGTTACGACCTATACTAAAATGCTTTCAAGCAGACAAAAATGAACAAACATGTTCACCGGAAACATCGGCCGTCTAAACTAATTTTTTTGACTTTTCAAGGATTATTTTTACTACTCTCAAACAAAAAGCTAAGACAACAGTTTTAAATATTTCAACTCATTCATTGGACTTCGGTCAAGAGTAAATAAAGATCTTGTCTAAAAACTTTCCCGATCATTCATTACTTGATACTTAAAATTGAAAAAGATTTTTTGTTAAGATGTTGAAGTTTTGAGTTGTTTTTTTAATTTTCATATATACAAGACATAAAATAGTATTATACAATCTCAAAATATTTTGTTAATCACACATGTGTTACTGTCAAAAATGTTAACTAAGAAATCCCACAATACATTTGAGCTCTTCCGGAATTCGATTTTTATAATATCAAATAAATATTGTTCCAGTCAGAAGATACTTTTTATAGAGTAAAACATTCAATGTCTAAGAGTTATTTTCCAACCGGAATTGATGCTATTCCGGTAAGAAAAGTGGAATAAAATTAGTTTGCTTTCAAAAAAAGGAAGACACAATATACAAAGAAAGAATTTACCCATCACCGTCAAGTGATATATCTAAATCGGCCCATATTGGTAATGTCATACCAATTGTAATCTCATTTGTAGTAACATCAAAACCAAGAAGTGCCGATCTATGAATATCTGTATTAATTAAAGATATTAAAAAAAAATGTGTCGTACTCTTCTGTTTGTTGTTTACCAATACATGTAATAATGACTAGGTAACGAAAACGATTTGGGAAGCCACTTTCCAATTGGACCATCTATTATAAAATGATTGATTAAAAAAGGAAAAAGAGAAATATTAAAAATAAATGACGAACCAACGTGAGGCGATCGTCGGGCCGCAGAATATTACACATTGATTCCAGATGTGTACGTAAGTTTTCTCAAAAAGACAAAAAAAAAGTAATTACATTTAAATATATTATTTTTCTTTATAAAAACTAACCTGCATTGCCCGCAACGATTCTTGCCAGATGACGGTCACGATTATGATTAGAAACTGCAGCGATCTTTGTCAAAATCAAGGATTTCTTCACATGTAAAATAGTTTGTTGATTTGACGATAAACTATACATAGAAAGGAATTGATCACAAAAGAAAATGCATTATTATTATTTCTTCATTCATTCTTCCATTCTTATAATCATTATATATACTATACAAAATGGTATTATGTTCATTGAATGGTGGTGTATCGAAGCAAAAAAAAAAAAAAAAGAAAATTGAGAGAAAGTAATTCTTTTACTATAACAATAACGTCTCACCTCGTCGTCATCCGGACGAAGAACTTTCGGCTAGTTTCTCTCTGCTATACGTCACGCTAATGAATAATTACTAGAGAAGATTTTTTTTTTTGCTCTCTTTATATACTCATATTCGGCAAATAAATAAAATAACCTTGAATCGAATTACTAATACATAACAAGAAGAATTATGTATATATATACCTTAAATATATTTTTGCCGTCAATATGAAAGATTTATTGAAGAAAAATATATGAATTTAAAATCTAAAAACGAACAAATATTTAATTTAGATTTTTAATTTCGTAATTATGAATGAGTAATAGAAGTAAATAGATTAATAATATTATAGAGTACTGCTAAAAAAGGAAGATGAATAGAAAATAGAAATCAAATGAACGATGTGAGCATGTCAATTGATGCAAATACAGATGTCGCGGGAAGTTGGTAAAAGGAAAATAAGTAGAACAAAAAGTCTTAATATAGTAAAAAGATGAATAGTTAGCATAAAAAAATTTATATATCAACAAATAAAGTCTTCTCTATCATCTGTAAAGGAAATAATTATTTACTATTGACTAAAAATTCTAACAACATTAAAAATATATATATATAAATAAAGAAATATTTTGAATTTTATTTTATTAAATGCTCAAAATAGTCGCTATAATTATTTATACAAACTCCATTCTTTCTAACAATTTATCAAATGGTTTTTTTAAAACTCTTCTTCTAGAACTTTTTTATTTAACTATCTTGAAAATCGCACGAAACAATGAGTTTTCATTTGCTTGGTCAATTAAATTACGTTTGATATAATCATTTACCCACAAATTACATGGTAAAATGTCTGGCAGTAACAAAGGATGTAGCATTATATTGAAACCTTCTGGTGTTAAATAATTAATAATGTCTGGATGAGTATGAAATCGAGTTCTGTCATGAAGTAATTTTATACTTTTTGTACGTGATGACTTCTTTTGGTTTCATATTTCATTGACAACAGGCTTGAGGCAATTTTCAACATAATAGTTGTGATCTATAGTCTTGACTTTATCTGTACTATGTATAAGAATAGAATTATTTGATTTAAAGAATATAGAAAACAAAGTTTTTGATTCAAATCTATTTCGGTGAACAATAGTCATTGATGACTCACCTTCACTAATCCAGTTTGCATTAGTTAACTTGCGTTCAACTTGTCTATGAGAAACCTATTTCTTCTCACCTCTCATGTCATTAAAATTGCGCAAAAATCTGCGATTTTATCGCGATTATTCAAATAATATTTCTAATGATTCGACCTAGTCGTAGTATTTGGATCTAAGACTATGGCTACGTCTCGACATGTATACCACTGTTGTTTACCATCGTGCTCCTACATGTTTCCGCATCCGTAGTAAATAATACAAAAATTGTTTTTTTTAAATACAATAATATTTACTGTTGACCGAGATAATAAAAATAGAAGAAAAAAAAAATATTTATTTTTATATGATAATACTATTGAAGTTTGTTGGAACATCGTTGATTAGTCGACATAAATAAAGTCAGAATCGTATTCAACCTTTTTCTGTTTAGATTCGTTTCCTGACTTGTGGACTTTAAAAAATTGCAGATACCCACAAATCTCGAATTTTTCTCGATTCACTTCTTAACGCCTTAGCGAACTCATTATATTTTGAGCTCACAATTTTTACTAAAATGATATTCTCTGACAAAATCTCATAATCCTATATCACCTGAGGATGAAAGTGCGGCGTGGATGGTTAGAAGACAATTTTTTCCGCCCATACCTCATTCACCTAGCGATGCACATTAGATCAAATCTAACAAAAATATCAAAAGTACGAATGTTAGTTATGAAAAAAGAATAATATTTTCAATTTCTATGTAAACAAAGGAATGAAATAATATCAATGTCATATTATGCAGTATTTCCATAAATATTTTATAAATCATCATCAATTGATAGTAGTTGACGTTATAATAAGCTTTCAATACATTCTAGTAATTGTTTATTGGTAGCAATAAGAAGAGATAAACAATCAATCGAATTAATATTAGCTCCTTTTGATAACAAAAGAATCATGATATCTTAAAAGTATATTAGAAATAAGCATATGTTTACATGACGATGAATTTGTTGTGGGTGTGGGTGTGAGGTATGGGTGCATTTGTTTTCTTCACCCAGACATACACCCAGACCCACACCCAATTCGGTAATCGTGCTATAAATATGGTACGTCTATCGAGAAGAAAAAAAAACAAGAAATAACTAATGAAAATATTTTATTTAGATTAAAAATGCGTACTTTTTATTATGGTTTATCTTCATATTGATCGTTTGGAATCTATCATGCTTCATCATGTTCTCGACAGTGTGCTCAGTTTTGAGAATGTTGTTTTTGGATGTTAATAAAATCAACTATCATTCGACTCATGAACAGGTCCACATATACACTTTTTCTATCTAATAATAGTTGTATAGTCGGGGTGGGATTGAAGCTCAGTTCCTGACCATGCCTATAGAGGTGGAGACTGTGTTCAGAATGGGTACAAACTCTTGTTAAGCGGAACTTAACTGTTTGTAGCGGAAGGGGAGGGAATTGAATGTCTGTCTATTTACGCCACTATTCAATTCATGCAAAATCTGAATAGAACGATTCTTATTCATTAAATCGAACACACTAACTATCAATTATCGCTGTGTAGAAACGAAGAAATCAGCTGCATAGATTTATATATATATCAGTGTATGGATAAACATTATATGATATTTGTCTTCTAGGTCAGACAAAAATTCTTTATACAAAAAGAACATTGTCTAAACCTCAAGAATAAAAAGAATCTTGACTAATCGATCAAGAAAAAATATAGTAATTTGAAAAGAATAGATTCAACAACGATCATTAATGTTGATGAATACTATAAATGTATCTCGCATATAATTTATTTTGTTTCGATATTTCGAATTCAATCATATCAAAAAACATAAAATATATTATTGAATAAATTATTTTCTCTTTAGCGAAATACTAATCTTGACAATCAAAACGATTGAGTAACAATGGTTCCGAAGTATATGCTGCTACTTTTGTACTTGCATCACAACGTCCACTAAGTCTGTTAAAAATAAATAAATAGTATAAAGAATGAAAAATGGTTATATGTATATATATATATATACATACACAACAGTGTCTTCAAGTGATTTAAGACGAAGACGTGAAACAACAATTTCATTAGCTGCTGGACCACCCCATCCAAAAGCTAAAATAATCATTAAAAACTTGTTCTAATAAGTTACACATCAACGAGTACGTACCAAGTATCTTTTTCTGAAAATATATCACAGCATAATCAACTTTTCCCAAATCAGTATGATAACTAAATACATGTCGAAAAATATCACCTGCTTTAATATCATCATTCCCTCTTTAAATAGAAAATAAAAAAAAAAAAAACAAACTTATCAATTACATATTCCAATGCATTCTCTTTTTTTTTTGATACATACCTTTCAGTCACGCTAACATTAGCTAATAATTCATAATCCGAATAAATTGCCACATAAATTTCACCACGTGTTTTAGCCATATCTCGATCAAGTACAAGTTCAACAAAATAATGATAGCCTAAAATTCAAAATCAAAAAAAAAATAACCCAGAGTTTGATTACTTAAATATTCTAACCACAAAATGGTGAATTGCTTTTTGTTGCTAAATACATTTTACCACGACCAAGTGAATATATAGAATAAAAACCTAAGAAATAGGGATAATAAATTATATACAAAAATTTAAATAAAAGATTGAATTACCCATTTGAGCACAACCAGATATTGGACATACAAGACATTTGCCATCCATAAAACTATTCTAGAAAAAAAAAATAATGAAAAACAATATATTAATTTTTCTATTTTATTTTTACATAATCATGGCATGGAAAAGCTGTATATGGACATTCCGAACTAAAAAAAAAAATATTAAAATGAAAGGCCATAAATTCCAAAATAAAACTTATTAACACAATCCTTATAAGATTAAAATGTTAAACACAATGTTGCTGTTCTTCCTAATCATAGAGATATTATTTTATTATAATATTTCTATCTCATATACTTCAATACTCTTTTTGTAATCATGTTTTACAAAATAACATACTTGATTGATTCAATAAAATATCCATGTGCACGACCTATTAATAAATATGAATTATATATATTTTGTTTTTATTATTAAATTTCATACTGACCATGTGAACATGATGCTTGTTCATAAGCAGCTATGATAGAAAAGAGAAAAAAAAAAATTTTTTACATCTATACCTATAAATTTGTTTACCTTCACTTTGACCACCTAAGACACCACCGAGAAGTGCACCACTAGAAAGAAAGACAAAAAAAACAAACAAATCAAATTTCAAAAAGAAAATGAAAACTTTAAATAATATTTACATTGAAGGACAACCAGGTTGAGATTGACCACCATTAGCATAAAAATCAATATCACCTGATTCATCAGTTATACCAAGACCAAGTCCGAGAGCAATTTCTGTATTTGAATGAATAACATCAACAAATTTAGCATCATCTTTATCAAGACGGACGACTATTTTTTTTCCTGAAAAGAATGGACCAGCTGGATCAAGACCTGATATACGAGCTAGTTGATTATCAACTGTATTTGATGTAAATCCACATGTATGTGCTCCAAGACTATGTCCTATGAGAAATTAATTAAATGTTTCTTTTTTTTTTTTTCTTAATGATAGTTCTTATGAACATACCAATACAATGAATTTTATCATATGAAATTCCTTTTAATTTGTGTAATTTTTTTAAAAATAAACCAATTAATTTACCAACAAGACGAGTATTAGCAACAGCATTTGCATAAAATGGAAATTTTGCACCACCACCCCAATCAACAACAATGACATCAGATTTTTCATCCTAGAAATTTTATTAATAATTATTTGAAAAGAAAAAAAAAAGTTTCTTTTTCTGTTTTTTTTTTTTAATTTTCTTACATTTTTCAATTTAAGTAATTCAGTTTTTAATTTTGCTATCCAAACACTTTCACGATTATTTTGAAAACCATGCACAATAATTCTTAACCATCGAGAAGGATTTATACTTGATTTCATAATTGATTCATCATTAGCATCATAAGAAAATATTTCCGGATTTGTTGGTGCTTCTTGTGTAAAAAGAAGAAAACCGGTATTAATAAATTCTGGTGATTGTGGTACTTCTAAGGCAGCATTATTAAATGGTTCATTATTATCAAAACAACCAACTATTGGATAACACACTGTCGTATTAGCAACTGGTCCTGTTGATGATGGTGTTCCTGATTCTTTTTGTCGTTGAAGAGCTCTGTTATTTGTTGAAATTACTGGGATATTAAGATTATTATTCGTTGATAAAACATCAATAATCAGCGGTTCATTAATCTCACGTTGTAATGGGATAAGTCGTGCATCAATAGAAAAAATGAGAACGATGATGAATAAACAATAGAAGCCTGAAGAAAAAACAAACAATTAGATTCTTATTAAGATTAAACTTTTTAACTCGAAAATTCAAGTAGTATATAAAAAGTATACGATAAACGAAAAATTATTAAAAGCAAAATTTTAATATTAATTAATAAAATGAAACGTTTAAGACATTCACAAAAATCGATCTTGGGTTAAGTACATTTAAATCACATGAAATTTTCACAATACATTGAGGACACAGTGAAGACGTTACTCTAAAATTTTCAGGAGATATTCAGCAGTGCCTGACAGAGTCTTTTTTTTTTTAGTTCTCATTTTCTATGCAGAGAAAAACGATGACAAGTTCAATAACTCGGAAAACTCCAAAAAAAAAATGGTCGTTATCTATTTATAGAAATGTATTTTTTATATACTCATAAAACAAAACTTAATTAAAAAACCAAGCACTGTAGATTCACATACTCTTTCAAATAAAAGAAAAAGCAATTGACTACAATAAAACTCCTTCGAGAATTCTGAGATGTGCAATGAGAAAAACATAAACTGAGAAAAAAAGAAAATGATGTGCCGAATAACAAAATCATATTGCTTGTGAATGATTCAATTTCAAGTTATCCTTCCATGCTCATATGTTAAATTCCACTAATCTGATGGAAATCGACTTTTCTTTTTGAGGGAACGGGTAAAAGACTTAAGAAATAAATTTTGATTCTGGGAATCAGTACGAATATTCTTACTTGAATGAAAACGCATGTTGACGACGAACGATCACATGAAGAAAATAACGATCGTATTATTGATCGATGGGTTTAAATCAGCTTAATCAACAGAGAGAAAATGATAATCAAAAATCAAAAATCTCATCTGTTTTTTATTCTCATGAAATTTTGTGAAAAAATAAAAATCTGTATTGAAAGAAGCAAATATTCATCCTACACAATCGCCTGGAATATATGAAAATATGAATATATACAAACCAATACCCTGGACAAACTTTTTTTAGTATGTGCATGAGATACGTGAGAATCTAGAGCAAGAAAGTCATACGCTACGGACAAATCTTGAGGCAAGAGCATGAGACCTTTTGACGAGCTCAAGTTTTTGAACCTCTTGTTGTATTGCTTAATATTCTTGCTCATACGCATGAATTCTCATCCAAGCGTTTCTGTTATTAAAAAACTATTTTTAGTTTTTTTGTTCTAGTTTTACGTTCAAAATGACCTAATTCTTAATAAAAACTCATAGTTGCATTTTCTTGAGTCGAACACATGTGTTACTTGGAACTCAAACGCTTCTCTTGAGAAAGAAAATTCTATGCTATGGACAAATCTTGAGGTCTACGCAGATCAAGAACATGAATAAAAAAGTTCGCCTAGGATAGATTTTAAAAAACAAAAAATATTTTAACGAATGTTTTCATTTGAAAATTGAATACTTCTATTCAAATTATTATTCATATTTCCATTTAATAGCAATGTCTGACTGTAAACAATTATTTTCAAGCAATAAAGAAATGATATATATGCATATATATCATGTATTAAGAATTTTCCAACAGAGGCTAAGATTTTCCCATTTATTATCAACTTCGAGCGACCTCTTTTTTTTAATGCCCGACATTGTCATATATCGGACAACTCCATACAGAAAAACAAAGTTTTAAGATCAATGAATGAATATATAATTCCATCTTTTTCCTTTTGTTTCGTTGCATTTATTTAACTGTAGGCTACCTTTTATATATATATATATATATAAATTTCACCATGTCATTTAATAATATTAATAAACCTTCTACAGAAGGTGGAAATGTATGGAGTGCAGGCTCTCGTGGTAATATGTCAATTTTGTCACTGTCAAAGTTGTATTTTAAATTCTTTTAGGGTCACGTGGTGGTTTTGCTCATTCAGATGATGATAATAATGGCGTCAGAGGAGGGTAAGTTTTATTTATTAAATATTCTATGATAATGATAATCATGAAGATGATTTTATTGATATTTGTTTATGGTTTTTATATTAATTTCTTTATATATATATATATGATAATTAATATTTATTAATTTTCTATTTTATTATAGTGGATCATATCGAAATAATTATTCAAGTAAGATTTAAATACATATTTAATCGACTTAACTTATATAATAATTTGAGAGGATAAAAAAAAACGAATTTTATTTTTCATAAAAGAAAAAATTGGATTTTGTTTGGCTAAAAATCTACAATTTTCAGAAAAAAAAAAGAAAAATTTTTACGATTGTAATATGTATGTTATTTGTTAATTGATTGTTTTGATTATATTTTAGGACGTGGTGGTTATGGATTTCGACATAATAATAATAATGATGAAGAGGAAGAAATAGAAATACTTAAGGAGGCAATATTTATTCAAAATTTACCAAAAAATATTACTCGAGATGATATTCAAGAAGCTTTTTCAACTGTAGGACCAATAAAAGTAATGTGATATTTTGTTTGTTTGTTTTTTTACTTTTATTTAATAAAAATATTTTTAGACGGATGAACGATCAGGTGGTCCTAAAATTTGGATTTATAAAGATCGTATGACTGGTGAAGGCAATGGTCGAGCTACGGTTACTTATGAAGATGAAGAAACTGCTACTAAAGCTATTGCAGAATATAATGGTAATTACGAATATTTTGAATATAATGATTCATTTTAGATATAATTATTTTCAATATGATTTAGATCAACATATAAGTTCAATAAATTCTGTTGTACGTGTTCAACTTGCACAACGTCGTATTCGTAATAATGATAATAATGATCGTGGTGGTTTTTATAATAATCGAGGTTTGTGTATTTTATATTATACTGGCAAGATATCCACACCTCACAAGATAGCTTCAGAAGATTCCAAAATATTCTAGAATTCTAGTTAATCTTATGTTGGTCTGATATGTTTGACCTTTGACCTGATAACAGATGAATGGACAAATAAACATGTTTTATTATATGGGTATGAATGATTATGAGAATCTATTGAACTCGATAATGAAGATTAAAAATAGTTTTCATCCGTTCATTGCTTGCATATCATATGACTTGAGAGACATGTATCTAAAGTTTTGTTTTTTTCTTTTTTTTAATTTCAAGGTTATCGTGGTGGTCGAAATAATTGGAATAATAATCAATCTGGTTCAGGTTTTAATTCAGGTGGTAATAATCGTTGGATTAATAGCAGAGGTAGTGGTTTTCGTGGTAAGTTTGTCTATCAATATATATATATATATATAAATTTAAAAAATGGTTTTTAGGTAGAGGAAGTGGCGATCGTGGCGGCGGTTCATATCGTGGAAGTCGAGGAAATTCATATCGTGGTTCAAACCGTGGTTATGACAATTCATCAAATTATTGATCATTTAAAAATATCAAACACGAATTAAAAAAACCGTTTTTTTTTCTCTCATTGTATGTGTATGCGCTTATGCGCAATTTTCTTTTGCTTGGCATATCCTATTCATATATCATTGTTGTTTTATGTTTTATTCAAAACTATGATATATATTTCAAAGATAGAAGAACATGAGCTCAACGAGAATTAATATTCTTTATGTACCATATTTAACTTATTCAATAGTGTCAAGGCGAAGAAATGTAATTAAACAATAAGTCATAATCATTGTTATACAATCTTGAGATATTTATTCAAAAGCATATGAAAATGATAATTCATTTTAATCAATTATTCATAAGAATTAAACGAAATTTGTCGAATAAACTCATGACTGAAAATAGATTTGAATCGGAAATGATTAGTTAGTTCTATATAAAACATCTTACTTTCAGAGTAATTAGGTCATTTTTCAGTCAATTGATTAACATTTCATTTGCTGACGAAATATGGATAAATGTTATGTAACTACATCATTTGTTGAAAATTAAAGTGAATATAGCAATGATACTCCATACAGATTCATGCACGCACATGTGCTTATTTCATTTATTCATATATGACACTGGTTTGTGAAAATAAAAACCAAGAGAAGAAATTTCAATCCTTTATGACACGTTACTCTTCAACTACACTTATAGATGTAATCGAATTTAAGGGTAGATGAGAGAGTATTTATTTGATCCGAAATCTTGTACTCATATTCGCTTCCTCAAGAAATATTAATCAAACAACTTGATAATGAACTAATTATTTAAATAAAATGTTTTATACAGAACCGATCATATTCGATCTAGATCCGTTTTTGGTCATGTTAGGATTGGCAAACTTCATCTTCAGGTATAGGTGTGAGTCTCCTCTACATCCACAATCATGCTCTGCACGAAAATGTCATATGTAGAAATATTGATCAATAGAAATTAGCATTAAAAACTACAACATCGAATCACACACATATTAGCAAAATCTATTTCTATCACGAAATGTATCTGTACTCCGAAACATTTTCTGTGGTCTCATGAGGTTTGACTTTTGCATGGAAAGCAGATTTTATTAACATATATATGATCTGATGTAGTTTTTCATGTTGATTTAGAATAATTTACTATTTATTTTCTTTTCAGTTAAACTATGATAATAAAAAAAATAGAAAATATAAAGTCATTTTTGGCCCATCTGTTATTTAAATAAGGAAATATTCAATTTTCTTATAAAGAAAACAAATTTAAACAAAAACTATATCAACACTTTGATAGCTGCAGATCTCATAATAGGTTTACAAAAGTATTTATAAACACATGTTCTAAGACTATCCATTATGTATAGAATTTTTTAGTCTAATAATCTTGTATTTAAATAAATAATATGTTTCTACTCTATTTTGAATGTTTCCCGACAATTTAGAAACTACCAACGACAAAAGTATTACGAATTGTATTTTTTATATAATATATAGAGTTTACGGTTAGAACAAATTTATTCAGATATATATATGAATAGTACAAGAGTAGACACTTATAATACAAATAAAAGTTTACAACGAAGATACAATGCGTTGATACAGTGTCTGAATTAGTTCAATATGTTCTTGAATAATACGTGTTAATGCATCATTACATGTTTCATTAGTCTCATTGTTTAGTTCATGTTTTGATTTCGAATTTATTTCTTCTTTAATTTTCTATTTGATAATATTCTATACTACGTAGTTCAATAGAGTTCGAATCAGGAGTATAACTTGACCATTGACATAATTTAACATTATATTTTTTTAACTAGAGAACATGACTAATGAAATATGCAATGATCTATAAACATTGATTTCTTGAGCTTTTTTATTTGTTCTAACGACTGAATGACCTAATCGAAATAAAAAGAATATATTCGTAATCAGCTGATCAGACTCTATGAAATCATATATGAAAAAATTAAAAATAAAATTCATTCGAGTTTTGTGTTTCTCATATCTTACTTGTAATAGTATATCAATACTAATTGATGATCGATAACGAGTAGTTCGGTTCGGTTTTTTGATTGCTTGTCCATACTGACTCTAACTTTCAATTAATGGAGTATCGATGATAGTGAGTATTTTTTTTTTAGATTCGCATAAAATGTTAATCACAGTTCTTTGAAGTCAAAATCATAATCCTATTCGTTAATGATAGAAATACAGTGCTGCCTACTTACAGAAAATCATTTTTAATTTTAATAACATTCAATATATAACGAAACAATACGAATCCCATGGCTCCACATAAATAAAGCAATTTTTGAATAATCTATGACTTGTATTTATCTATCGAGTTCCTGACTATTATACACTCGAAATCAGAAAGCAAAACTATTTTATTGATTTTGAAAACAACCAGATTTTGAGGTCTTATTTCAATAAGACTAATCTCCATTCTATAATGCCCTATGTCAATTTTCAAAAGACGTTATACTTTTCAGTGTGTACTTCAAGAACTTACTAATATCACTTTTCTGGGTCTGAGAAGATATTTATAGAAAGCTGACTCTTTTAATAAAGTGAACACTCAGTGAGACTTCTCTGTAGTCAAACTTTTAGCCGTTTAACTTAATCTGCCTCTAAGATATGTATGTGCACATAAAATACTGAAAAACTTAACTCAGATTTTTATGAAAAGTACTTGAACATGAGATATTTTCACAGTAAAAATTGCAAGTCTAGCGAATGTATCCTTGATGAGATATGACTGTTACAGAAACCGCAAAAAAAAAGATTAGAAAAAATGTGTTGTGTGATGATAGTGCTTTCCGAAAAATTAAAATCCCTCAAGAATAGAATAATATTCTTTTTAACAATTTTTATAGAGATTCATCGAACGTACTCTTCTATAGACATATATAAAAATTAGTCAGATCGGCAATCATCAATAGAGCAACTTTTCTGGAAATGGATCGTAGTTTTATCTAAATTGTTTGATGTATATACTGGAAAATTTTTTGCTCATAGCAAATACAAGAAGGTGAAGTTCTAAAAATTCATGTTAATAACTAAAAGTGATCAGTCTTACTTAGTTTCAGAGCGGAAACTCATAGATTGCTCATAAGAGACAGAAATTCTGATCATAAGGCAGAAGATATATCTAGTATCTATGAAACTGTTGAATAATCGTGAGCATGGTATGTCGCCTCTATCGTGCAATGACTCCTCATGAACACATATTGCAATTCCTTTAAAATTTCAAGATTAAATATTACTGCAAAAACCTCTAAAACTTAATCAGAACAATTGAAAAATATTTTCAATAAATATTAATCTTTAAATTATTTATTAAAGCTATAGTCTTGAAAATATCAATACTTCATACCAATTATCTAAAAAATAACACGTAAAAACAAAAAATAAAAGTCAATCGTTGTCTAACAGAAAAATTAGCTATTGTTCAATATATGGTTACGAAAATTAAAAATTAAAAAAAAAAAGTAATGAAATAAAATGTCTATTCATTTGTGAAATGTATGACAAGGATTCCTAAGACGATATTGCAATAATTCAATACCATTTACATACCACCAAATAAACGCACATAATGATGAAATATGCCAAATTTGATGACTTGCAAATATAAAATCAAAATAACCTAAATAAAAAAACAATTCAAAGAAAATTTGTAATAAAATTTCTTTAATATTAAATACCAGGAAAAAATCTTTCAGGAAATTTTGTTAAATAAACAATTGTTCCAATACCTAATATTCCATAGAGTACAAATAATTTTGGAAAAAAATGTTGAACAAATCGATTTGACCAACCACCATGAAGACAATACCAATGTAAACCTGGTAAAAATCCAAGAAGAGATATTATTACAAATAAACTTATATGAATATTTCGTGTTATATATTGTTTTACAGCATGAACATAATATATAACAGCAATAAATGTTATACAAATAATTATTGTTTCATATCGTATTCTCCAATCATGATAACATTCAAATGTTATATGAAGACCATATAAATAACAACCAAGAATACTAATTCCAATACCACATAAATCTAATTTAAGAAAATCTGCAAATATTCGTGATGACATACAACCAAAGAGATGAAATAAAACAGAACCAAACATGCATATCTATCATCATAGAATATAAATTATTTTAAAAAAAGAACAAATTTTTTAAACTTACAACAACAGAAAATGTATAAAGTAAAAAAAAATAATAATCTGATGTTGACTTTAGAAATGGTAATGCATTTCCTATATAAATATCACGAAAGAAAAAATATAAAAAAACTCCAGCACCAATTAAATGTGACCAAACATTTATTGATTCATTATTTAGATAAAATAAACTGAATAAAAAAAAAAAGAATAAATAAATTCAAAAGGTTAAATATATACTTACCTAAATAAACAACCTATAAAATTTAAACCATATCGATAACCACTACGAATATATGGATTTGATTGAAGATATTCAGGTATCATCTCAAATGAATATAATCGAAGTT